CACACACACACACACACACACACACACACACACACACACACACACACACACACACACACACCTGTGCTGCGTGCCCAAGCCCTGCTCAGCCTTGGGGTCGTTCCGCGTGCTGCCGACACCAGGACAGCAGCTGAGATTCCCATTTCAGTGCCATCTCATAAAAGCCCCCACCCAGCTTAGTCCTTCAAGGGCCGCCCTCTGACCCCTCCCCCTTGCCCGATTCCTTGCAGCTGTTCGCATCCGGCTCAGCTGCGGCCAGGTTCGCGAAGCAGCTTCTCACCAGGGATCCGGCGGCAGATGGCCCAGCAGATGACGTCATCGCTCGCCTGCAGAGGCAGCACGACGAGGCGGTGGGCACGGGGCTGCACACAGCAGCGGCGGCGGCTGGAGCTGCGGCGGCGACCACCCCTGCTGGCATTGGGGGCGGCTGGCAGCAGCAGCCGTCGCTGGCGCCGCAGCCACAGTGGCAGCCACTACCATGGCAGCCGGGCGGCGGAGGGGTCGACGGTCAACGGTGGCCGGGGCCGCCGCAGGCGGCGTCAGCAGCGGGTGCGGGGGCGGCGGCGGCCTCGGACGCGTGCTGCGATGACGAAATGCCTGATGATCTGGACTGGGATGATCTGGAGCGGCTGGAGCAGGAGTATGAATCCAGCAAGCAGCAGCAGCAGCAGCAGCAGCAGCAGCAGCCGCAGCCGCAGCAGCAGCAGCAGCAGCAGCGGCCAGGGGTGCCTTATCTCGATCAGCAGCACCGGCAGGCCCCGCCGCAGCCGATGTCGGCAGCTGACTTGCTCAGGGCCGCAAGCGGCGGCGGCGGCGGCGGCGGCGGCAGGGTCGGCGGACTGGCTGGTTTTAGCTGCACGGGCATCGCTGGCGCACCATGGGCAGGCGAGGCGCCAGCGCCAGCAATGTGGGCGCATGCGGCGGGTCCCGGCCCCGCCGGGCATCCACGGCCGGGGCCGCCGCCGCCGCCGCTGCATCAGCATCAGCATCAGCAGCAGCAGCCTGGAGTGCGCGGACACCCAGAAGCTGCCTGGTTGCACCAGCCAGCCCCTGGCGAAAAAGGCACGCACATCCTGACGCCGGGTGACATCATTATGACGCGCAGCGACGGCCAGCCGCCAGGCCAACGCGGCGGGGATGGCGGCGGATGGGACGTCTACTCGCAGCTGCTGGGTGGGTCGCCTCCCGTTTGGCTGTGGGTGCCTGCGGGGATCACCCCGTCGGGCTGCTAGGGTCTATGGATCAAGTCATGAGGCGGCTGACTGTCTGTGGCTGCCATGCAATATGGTGCAACGCGCTGCGTGCCTCGTGGGAAGTCCGTGCGGCGCGCCCCCTGGGTGCCTTTGAATCGCGGTCACGCAACGTCGCCACAAAGCCCACCCTCAAAAGCCTTGATGGCGCCAGAAGCACGACTGTGGGACGCTCGTGGGACACTGTGACAATCCTGATTCTGATGGTCTTGGCCGCAAACCCCCCTGCCCGCCACATCTGTGCTTGCATTGCGCAGGTACTGGCGACGATCAGTTGCCCGCCGATGCCGAACCCCCGCCGTCACCGCCGCCCGTCTTGGCGCAACCGCGCGGCGGCGGAGCCAGCCGAAAGGGCGAGGCGTCTGCTGATGGGGCGGATGACGCAATGGATTGGGAGGGAGGATGGGACGGCGGGGCTCGGGACGACCAGTGTGATCTGGGAGCAGACGAGCCGCCCTGGGCGGCGGCGTCGACGGCAAAGTGCTGTGAGAGCGCTCTTGCCAGCAACAGCGGCCGGACGTCAGCGGCCGGCGCCGGCGCGCCGCGCGGCGCGTGCGAGCGGGGGCCGCGGGCGGCGGAGGCAGGAGCGGATGCGGCGGCCGCGGAGGCGGCCGCGCTTTCTCTGCTGGACGAGCTCGAGAGGTGGGGGCGCTGCGGCGGCGGCGGCGTTCGCGGCGGCGGCGGTGGCAACATGAACGTTGCCGCGGGCGCGCGCGCCGCGGCGGCTGCCTGCGGCGGCGGCGCCGGTGCCGCTGTCAACGATGGTGGTGGTGGCGTTTTTGTGTTGGATCAGGTGTGGGGAGGCCTGCCGGGGTTGGTAGTGGTGGAGGAGGAGGAAGAGGAGGAGCAGGGTGGTGGCGGCAGCTTCCAGGACGGGCACGAGGAGGAGGAGGAGGAGGAGGAGGAGGGGCAGCAGGAGGAGGAGGGGAACTACGGTGGTGGAGAGGAGGGTGTGAGGGAGTTCAGGTTGCAGCCAAAGCAGGGGCAGCAGGCGAGCGACGGGGAGGGCGACGGCCGGGCGCCCGCGGCAGCATTGGACATCATGGACAGCGACGGCCCGAGCGGCGCCGCGCGCGCGGCAGCAAAGCGCGCCGCGCCACCGCCGGCCCCCGGCGCGTCCCCGGGCGTGTCCCCGCCACCCAAGCACGCGCGGCGGCCCGAGGAGACCCCCAGCGACGGGGGCGGCGGGCAGCCGCCGCCATTTCCACCGTCGCGGCTGCCTGGCGGCGGGGGTGCGG